AAAAAATATATATATATGCTTCAATGTAAACACTTGACCTACACATCCCCTACCCACTCTAAAGCCTCCATGCTCATGTGCAATCCTACTCTGTGTCTTACCTCTAATTCTCTCATTAATAACCCTACTGTATACTTTTCCTGGTATACTTAGTAAACTTATTCCCCTATAATTTTTACAATCTCTTTTGCTCCCCTTCCCTTTATATGAAGGAACTATACATGCTCTCTGCCAACCACTCCAACACTATATCCCACCCTGCTTTTAACATTTCTGTCATGATAGTGTCAGTTCCTGCTGCTTTACCCCCTTTCATTCTACGTAATGCCTCGCGCACCTCCCCCACACTCATATCCTGCTCTTCACTCCTTAAAGATGTTATGCCTCTCTGGCCAGTGCAGAATTACCGCCTCCCTTTCTTCATCGACATTTAAAAGTTCCTCAAATATTCCCACCATCTACCCAATACTAACTCCCCTACCCTCTTTTTAACTGACAAATCCATTCATTTCCTAGGTTTTCTTAACGAGTTTATCTCACTTCAAAATTTTTTCTTACTTTCTGCAAAATTTCTTGACAGTGCCTCTCCCACTCTATCATCTGCTCTCTTTTTCACTCTCTTCACCTTTTACTCTCATATACTTTGCTCCTCTTATAACACTTCTGCTTTGTAAAAACCTCTCATAAGCTATCTTTTTCTCTTTTATCACACCCTTTACTTCATCATTCCACCAATCACTCCTCTTTCCTCCTGTACCCACCCTCCTATAACCACAAACTTCTGCACCACATTCTAATACTGCACTTTTAAAACTATTCCAACCGTCTTGAGCCACCCCACTACTCACATCTACACTATCCCACCTTTCTGCCAATAGATGCTTATATCTCACCCTAACTTCGTCCTCCCTTAGTTTATACACTTTCACCTCTGTCTTACTTCCTGTTGCCATTTTCCTTTTGTCTCATCTACCTCTTACTCTAACTGTAGCTACGACTAAATAATGGTCCGATATATCAGTTGCACCTCTATAAACATGTACATCCTGAAGCCTACCCATCAACCTTTTATCCACCAATACATAATCTAACAAACTACTTTCATTACGTGCTATATCATACCGTGTATGTATACTTATTTATCCCGTTTTTCATAAAATATGAATTACTTACTACCAAACCTCTTTCTACACATAGCTCAATTCAAGGCTCCCCATTTTTATTTACCACTGGCACCCCAAATTTACCTACTACTCCCTCCACAACATTTTTACCCAATTTAGCATCGAGATCCCCAACCAAAAGTACTCTCTCACTAGGTTCAAAACTCCCCATGCACTCACTCAACATTTCCCAAAATGTCTCTCTCTCTCTCTCTAGTCTATGCTTCTCTCTTCTCCAGGTGCATAAATGCTTACTATAACCCACTTTTCACATTCAACCCTTACTTTACTCCACATAATCCTTGAATTTATACATTTATATTCCTTCTTATCCTGCCATAACTTATCCTTCAACATTACTGCTACTCCTTCTTTAGCTCTAACTATTTGAAACCCCTGACATAATCCCATTTCTCTCTCCCTATTGAAACTCTCCCACCCCCTTCAGCTTTGTTTCATTTAAAGCCAGGACATCCAGCTTCTTCTCATTCATAACATCCACAATCATCTCTTTCTTATCATTCGCACATTCAAACATCCTACTTTGATGGTTTTCTTCTTTTTCTTTTTAGTAGGCTATATGGGAAAAGGGGTTACTAGCCCATTGTTCCTGGCATTTTAGTTGACTTTTACAACAAGCATGGCTTACAGAGGAAAGATTCTTATTCCACTTCCCCATGGATATAAAAGGAAAAGCAATAAGAACACGAACTATTAAGACAAAATCAAAGAAAACTCAGATGAGTGTGTATACATAAATGTGTACGTGTATGTGTAGTGTGACCTAAGTGTAAGTAGAAGTAGGAAGATGTACCTGAAATCTTGCATGTTTATGAGACAGAAAAAAGACACCAGTAATCCTACCATCATGTAAAATATATACAGGCTTCCTTTTTACACTCACTTGGCAGGACGGTGTGATTGCTGTCTATCAACCTACTACCTATATCTTTATATATGCTTCTAAACTGTTGTATCTGGGTGCCTCTGCAAAGACAGTGATTATGTACGAGTGAGGTGAAAGTGTTGAATGATGATGAAAGTATTTTCTTTTTGGGGATTTTCTTTCTCTTTGGGTCACCCTGCCTTGGTGGGAGAAGGCAGACTTGCTGGAAAAAAATAATAATTAATTAATCAGTTCCAGACACCCAAAAATATTAACAAAAAATACATTTTTTAAAGATTAACTATAGTTTTACATACACAAAACAATGAGAACTAAATGAAGTGACTAATGAAATGGATAAATGAACATTTAACATCACATTTATCTTTATTGAAGATTCTTGTTGGCGTATGAAGACAGGAAGGACTGATTATTGTTTGGAAGGGATATATCCCTCCATAAGGACTTCAGGTATCAAGTCCCTATCCAGGGTTACTTCCCTTCTTTGTTTTATACTAGCACTAGGACCAGCTTGAGTCACTGCACCCCTGTCACATAAAAAATTGCCCAGGGAGGTCTGTTTCTGGTGTCTAAGATTTGCCTGAAGTGGGACAAAGTTTTGTCATTAAACATGTTGCAGATATGGCTTGTTTCAGCTTGGTCAGGGCTGGCACTAGGAACTTTCTTTGGGCCCAGGGTGGCTTATTTAACAGTCACACTCAATAAACAACCACAAAAAACAATGGCTTATAACGAAATGTTTGGATGAATGTGCAGAGTATTGCTCACTCACCGAGACACACAGCCAGACTGACTTACGCATGCGGCGTGGTGGGAGGATGTGTCCAATACAGCTGATTTCTGAGTTGCCGGCCGAAATCCACGATAGAATTTTGGCCAAAAAAGCAGTTGAAATCCAATTTGGCAGATATCCGCACCTGCCGATATCTGGGGGTCAATTGTACTTCTTTCTTTCAATGCACCGGCCATATACCACTGAGGCAGAGTGGCCCAAAAGGAAAAACAAAAGTTTCTCCTTTTACATTTAGTAATATATACAGAAGAAGGGGTTACTAGCTCCTTGCTCCTGGCATTTTAGTCGCCTCTTATGACACGCATGGCTTATGGAGGAAGAATTCTGTTCCACTTCCCCATGGAGAACACACACATACACAAACACAAAATTTTATGCTTTCTGAAACCAATAGAGCTCTCTTATTCTATTCCTGTCTTCCCTGAAATGAGCCTATATGCCTTCCATTCCCCCCCATAGGCACTGTATAATCCCTATGGGTTTAGCACTCCCCCATGATGATGATAATCTATTCCTTCCTATTCTCTTTAATTCCTACATTAGATCTTGTTCTATTGTTTCTCTGTCTAACACAAACACGCTTCCATAGTCATTATTTACCATTACAGGTGAACCTCAGTTGCCGATTGCATTACTTGCCAAATAAATCGGTTTTTGAATGAGGTGTTCGAGGAAAATATCCTGGTTTTCATATGTTCTCTTGGTTGTCGACGGACAAGTTTTCACACGTACGGAATGGGACAAAGTGGCTTAGGTCACGTGCTCACGAATGCGCATTGGACAGTGGGTACAATGACAGTGTAATGTATAAATTTAAAACGGAGCCTGAAACAAACGTCACTGGACAGATTTTTAGTGAGAAAGAACCAATGAGCCAAAACAAGCTGTAGGTGGTAGAGAGAGGCAAAGAAAAGAAACAACAACAGAAAGACAGTTGCCTGACATATTAACAGGCGATTCTCCTTCCAAGCAGTAACATCTTCCCTCCTCTTCTCTATCTCCTGCTTCCGGTATGCCATTAGCTCTCCTCTGACAGGTAAGGGTCAGTTAAGTTTTCATTTACTGTAATGTATTTCAATTAAATTTTCATTTAGTATTCATTTTTAGTTTCCCTGTGTTGCAAAATTTTATACATTGTTTTAAGTAGTAAATAGTACATTATTAATATATTATATTGTCATTTGGGGTCTGGAAAAGGATTAATTTTATTTACATTATTCTTTATGGGAAAAACTGCTTTCGATGTCAATTTTGGTTGTCAAATCAACATCTGGAATGAATTAAATTCGAAAACTATGGTTGCACTGTATAAAAGCAGGCCCTTAGCATGTTGCCACATTGTATTGGGGCTATGAATTAAGTTACACAAGGATGTGAACGTTTTTAGTCATGATTCGTGTGGATTAGGTGCTAACACCGCTGCTCTCAAAATTTCTCTACAAAATAAAAATTTATGTGGTGCTGTAAAATCTGGAAAAAAAAAAAAAAAAAAAAAAAAGGCTATAGTAACAAATGTTCAGAGTAGATAAAATTTATATTTTCTCTTGTATTTTTAGAGAAAACACATTACATTGCAGGAGGACCCCACTTTACTGCATCTTGCTAATGCAGCAGTTTTCAATTATACCCATTCTTCATTTATTCTGACTTCCTACAATAAATATAAGCTAAGGATGAAAACATTTTCAGGTAAGTAATGCATGTATTGTATATGATTTTTTAGGGCCTAGCTCTATTGCTCACTTAATATACGATAGTGTAAACATGTTATCAGGCTTTTATATGCATTTGAAAGTAAAAAAAAAAACCACCACCCAAGCTGATTCACATTACAGCGGCAGCCAAAAACCTAACCTGCTGTATAAGCAGGGCCCTCCTGAATTAACCTACCTCTAGCCCAATGGTAGAGCACTTGTTTGAAAACCAAAGGAGCTCCAATTTGATTCCAAACAAGGCTAAACATATGGACCACTCTTTCCCTTTCAGTAAATAGGATCGCATCTTAGGAACAGGTGGCAGTATGTACATTAGAGAGGACTAGGTCTTGAAATGAGCCAAGGTATGATAATAGCCTGTTAATTCAATAGTGTAAAAACCATTCCCTTCACAATTATAAACTAACTTCCTGAAGATTCACCTTTCATTTCTTGACTGGAGAGAATTTGTGTTTTCTTTTGTACAGAGCTCATTGCTTCCCTAACTGTGCCAAGTTGCTCCATCTGGATGTGGAAGGAGTGTGCCATATTTAATCGCTCATGAACAGTGTTATATACATCTTCCCAACAGTGCATTCCACTACACAGTTGGGAGAGAGCTTCCCAGCCAGCTTCAACAGTATCTTGGTCATACCACATAAGTGAAGTTGTAGACATCCTTGCTTTCTGTTTCATCTCACATCTGCCAATAGAAATTTTCTTAATTACATAAACTCACTACAGCAATCAAGGACTGGCCAACAACCTAACTGACACTGTCTACTGCCACATGTCTCCACAATTATATTCTCTCATTCCTTCCTCTGCAATAAACAATTAAAAACAATTAAATTTAAGCATCTTATATACTGTATAGTGCTGTGAAACTTGTTGAAATATCTCCATAATAAATCAAGCTATCCTTTATAGTGTAATCTCAAATTAACTTTTTGTTTGCAATTTAGCTTAACACTTTGAGGGTCCATGCCATAGATCTATGGCTTTATGTTGAGGGTCCAAACCGTAGAGCTACGTCATGAGCTCAGCTCAGCTCTGATAAGCTGTGAGTGGTAAATTTGGGCCTAGATATGAGAGAATACATCTATGTGGTATGTGTCCATCACATAAAACAAACCCTGCAGCACACAGTGCATAATGAGAGAAAAAAACCGAGACCATAATTTTCGATTAAAACAGTGACTTTGCAGTTTTTTTTTTTTTTTGTATATTTTTTATAGTTGTATTTGCAATTTCTTGGTCTCATTTGATAGAATGGAAGATATATTACAGAAATAGAGATGATTTTGATTAGTTTTAGTATTGGAAATGGCTTGAAACTGAGCTCAAAGTAACGGAAATGTTAAATTTTTGCCGATGTTCAAGAGTAAACAAATGACCTCACACGTCTAACAAATGCCTGCTGGTGGGTCTAATATACGTTCACAAATGTGGTGATATTATTTATACAATTATTACAATATTGCATAACAGTAAATCTTCTATTTTTTGGTTTGAATAAAAATTCATTATGTGAATAAAAAATCAAAATGGAATTCATTAGTAAAGCCTGAAAATGTAACTAATGAACAGAGGAAATGTTAGTTTAGTGCCAGGAATGCCTGCATTGTTTATTCTGGACCCTATTTTGAAATTGAAGTATTTTGAACTTTGCATTAAATTGGCCAAATTACCAATTTCCGATCACTTTATTTTGTAGTTGAAACAGTTGACTTGGCGAATTCTTGTGCTCAATCGATAAAATAGAAGTAATACTAGTGAAATAGTTAAGAATTTGGTCGACTGGAATAATGTAATTGGCCTAAAATGGGAGTCAAAGTCGGCAAAATCGCCAATGCGTAAATATCGCTGACACATCAAAATTCGCAATAGCATAATTTCGTCAATTTTCCATCAAATTTCATCCTTTTTGTTTTATTACCTTCAGAAAAAGATTCTCTACCATTTCATAAAGCTAATAGAATCCTTGGCTTCATATCAAGAAGCATAAATAATAGGAGTCCTCAGGTTGTTCTTCAACTCTATACATCCTTGGTTAGGCCTCATTTAGATTATGCTGCACAGTTTTGGTCACCGTATTACAGAATGGATATAAATTCTCTGGAAAATGTACAAAGGAGGATGACAAAGAGATCCCATGTATCAGAAACCCTTCCCTATGAAGGATAGACAAAGGGCCCTGAAACTGCCTCTCTAAAACTAGGAATTGCTTTTAAGATTGTAGGTGTATAAGTGGAAGACAGGAATAAATAAAGGGGATGTAAATAGTGTGCTGAAAATATCTAGCCTAGAACGACTCGCAGCAATGGTTTTAAGTTGGAAAATTCAGATTCAGGAAGGATATAGGATATACGGTTTGTAATAGAGTTGTGGATGGTAGGAACAAACTCCCAAGTACCGTTATAGAGCCAGAACGTTGTGTACTTTAAAAATAGGTTGGATAAATACATGAGTAGATTTTGGGTGGGTGTGAGTTAGACCTGATAGCTTGTGCTAACAGGTCGGTTGCCGTGTTCCTCCCTTAAGTCAATGTGACCTGACCTGACTAGGTTGGGTGCATTGGCTTAAGCCGGTAGGAGACTTGGACCTGCCTCGCATGGGCCAGTAGGCCTTCTGCAGTGTTCCTTCGTTCTTATGTTCTTATGTTCATAAGAAAAAATAACAAAATTATTTTTTGAAATTCTTGGACACTGGTGCACACTTTGAAATTTGGCCTCTGGACTGTGAAAGGATTAAAGAATACTATACTAACTCCCACTGTCAACAAAAGATCCCCCTAAAATAAAAATAATCACAGATTTTATAAGACTTCTCTACTTAACTAGATTTCTATATTGCCAGTTTTACAACATGAAAATATTTATTTGTAGATTAAGACTTGATTCACTTCAACAGTATTCAAGCAATTTAAAATATACAAATGTTATTTTTATTTTTGTCATTACTAAATTACTGGTATTAATATGCTAATTATTGTACAAGTTATGAATAATATCTGAATTTATATTTTTTCCCCCCAACAAACCGGTCATATCCCATCGAGGCAGGATGACCTAAAAAGAAAAACAAGTTTTTCCTTTTAAATTTAGTAATTTATACAGAAGGGGTTACTAGCTCCTTGCTCCCAGCATTTCAGTCGCTTCTCAAGGCACACATGGCTTGTGGAGGAAGAATTAACTTATCATATATTTATTATTATTTTTATTATCACACTGGCCGATTCCCACCAAGGCAGGGTGGCCCGAAAAAGAAAAACTTTCACCATCATTCACTCCATCACTGTCTTGCCAGAAGGGTGCTTTACACTACAGTTTTTAAACTGCAACATTAACACCCCTCCTTCAGAGTGCAGGCACTGTACTTCCATCTCCAGGACTCAAGTCCGGCCTGCCGGTTTCCCTAAATCCCTTCATAAATGTTACTTTGCTCACACTCCAACAGCACGTCAAGTATTAAAAACCATTCGTCTCCATTCACTCCTATCAAACACGCTCACGCACGCCTGCTGGAAGTCCAAGCCCCTCGCACACAAAACCTCCTTTACCCCCTCCCTCCAACCTTTCCTAGGCTGACCCCTACCCCGCCTTCCTTCCACTACAGACTGATACACTCTTGAAGTCATTCTGTTTCGCTCCATTCTCTCTACATGTCCGAACCACCTCAACAACCCTTCCTCAGCCCTCTGGACAACAGTTTTGGTAATCCTGCACCTCCTCCTAACTTCCAAACTACGAATTCTCTGCATTATATTCACACCACACATTGCCCTCAGACATGACATCTCCACTGCCTCCAGCCTTCTCCTCGCTGCAACATTCATCACCCACGCTTCACACCCATATAAGAGTGTTGGTAAAACTATACTCTCATACATTCCCCTCTTTGCCTCCAAGGACAAAGTTCTTTGTCTCCACAGACTCCTAAGTGCACCACTCACCCTTTCCCCTCATCAATTCTATGATTCACCTCATCCTTCATAGACCCATCCGCTGACACGTCCACTCCCAAATATCTGAATACATTCACCTCCTCCATACTCTCTCCCTCCAATCTGATATCCAATCTTTCATCACCTAATATTTTTGTTATCCTCATAACCTTACTCTTTCCTGTATTCACTTTTAATTTTCTTCTTTTGCACACCCTACCAAATTCATCCACCAATCTCTGCAACTTCTCTTCAGAATCTCCCAAGAGCACAGTGTCATCAGCAAAGAGCAACTGACAACTCCCACTTTATGTGTGATTCTTTATCTTTTAACTCCACGCCTCTTGTCAAGACCCTCGCATTTACTTCTCTTACAACCCCATCTATAAATATATTAAACAACCACGGTGACATCACACATCCTTGTCTAAGGCCTACTTTTACTGGGAAATAATTTCCCTCTTTCCTATGTACTCTAACTTGAGCCTCACTATCCTCGTAAAAACTCTTCACTGCTTTCAGTAACCTACCTCCTACACCATACACCTGCAACATCTGCCACATTGCCCCCCTATCCACCCTGTCATACGCCTTTTCCAAATCCATAAATGCCACAAAGACCTCTTTAGCCTTATCTAAATACTGTTCACTTATATGTTTCACTGTAAACACCTGGTCCACACACCCCCTACCTTTCCTAAAGCCTCCTTGTTCATCTGCTGTCCTATTCTCCGTCTTACTTTTAATTCTTTCAATAATAACTCTACCATACACTTTACCAGTATACTCAACAGACTTATCCCCCTATAATTTTTGCACTCTCTTTTGTCCCCTTTGCCTTTATACAAAGGAACTATGCATACTCTCTGCCAATCCCTAGGTACCTTACCCTCTTCCATACATTTATTAAATATTGCACCAACCACTCCAAAACTATATCCCCCACCTGCTTTTAACATTTCTATCTTTATCCCATCAATCCCGGCTGCCTTACCCCCTTTCATTTTGCCTACTGCCTCACGAACTTCCCCACACTCACAGCTGGCTCTTCCTCACTCCTACAAGATGTTATTCCTCCTTGCCATATACACGAAATCACAGCTTCCCTATCTTCATCAACATTTAACAATTCCTCAAAATATTCCCTCCATCTTCCCAATACCTCTAACTCTCCATTTAATAACTCTCCTCTCCTATTTTTTAACTGACAAATCCATTTGTTCTCTAGGCTTCCTTAACTTGTTAATCTCACTCCAAAACTTTTTCTTATTTTCAACAAAATTTGTTGATAACATCTCACCCACTCTCTCATTTGCTCTCTTTTTACATTGCTTCACCACTCTTAACCTCTCTCTTTTTCCTCCATATACTCTTCCCTCCTTGCATCACTTCTACTTTGTAAAAACTTCTCATATGCTAAACTTTTTCTCCCTTACTACTCTCTTTACATCATCATTCCACCAATCGCTCCTCTTCCCTCCCGCACCCACTTTCCTGTAACCACAAACTTCTGCTGAACACTCTAACACTACATTTTTAAACCTACCCCATACCTCTTCGACCCCATTGCCTATGCTCTCATTAGCCCATCTATCCTCCAATAGCTGTTTATATCTTACCCCTAATCTGCCTCCTCTTTTAGTTTATAAACCTTCACCTCTCTCTTCCCTGATGCTTCTATTCTCCTTGTATCCCATCTACCTTTTACTCTCAGTGTAGCTACAACTAGAAAGTGATCTGATATATCTGTGGCCCCTCTATAAACATGTACATCCTGAAGCCTCTACTCAACAGTCTTTTATCTACCAATACATAATCCAACAAACTACTGTCATTTCGCCCTACATCATATCTTGTATACTTATTTATCCTCTTTTTCTTAAAATATGTATTACCTATAACTAAACCCCTTTCTATACAAAGTTCAATCAAAGGGCTCCCATTATCATTTACACCTGGCACCCCAAACTTACCTACCACACCCTCTCTAAAAGTTTCTCCTACTTTAGCATTCAGGTCCCCTACCACAATTACTCTCTGTTTGGGTTAAAGGCTCCTTACTTTTCATTAACACCCCCCAAAATCTCTCTCTTCCTCTGCATTCTTTTCCGGGTGCATACCCTTATTTGACCCACTTCTCGCATCCAACCTTTACTTTAACCCACTAATTCTTCATTTAACATTCTTTTCCCCTTTTTCCCCTTCCAAAATGATCATTCAACATTCTGCTCCCCTTCCTTTTGCTAAAACTCTCTCATACCCCAAATTTTAAATCTCATTTTTTTTCCCCCCCCCAAAACTCCCCTCCCCCCTTCAGCTTTGTTTCGCTTGGGGCCAGGACATAAAAAGTTTTTTCATTATAAATCAGCAATCATCTTTTTCTTGTCATCTGCACTACACCCACGCACATTCAAGATCCCATTTTTAAAAAGTTTTCTTTTTCTCTTTTTTAGTAAAGTCTACAGGAAAAGGGGGTTACTAGCCATTGCTCCCGCATTTTAGTCGCCTCTACGACACCATGGCTTACGGGGGAAAAGATTTTTTCCATTTCCCATGGACAATGAAGAAATAAAGAAGAAAAGAGCTTGTAGAAAGGGGGAAAAAACCAGATTATTAAAATTAATGCATGTGCTGTCTGTGAAGTGTGACCAAAGTGTAATTTGGAGTGAAGATATCCTGTTATTAGGTTTTTAGGCGAAAAAGACCCAGCATCCTACCATCATGCAAAACAGTTACAGGTTTTTTGTTTCACAGTCATCTGGAGGCGGGGAGTACTTTCCCGGGTGGTTTCTGTCTACCAACTATACCCATATATATTAATATAGTAATATTCTCACGAAAATGTAAACCCGGCCAGTGCAAAGCCCCTCAGATAGCTAGCTACAAAACGATTCATTAATCAGGTATATTTCTATACACCGTAAGGGAATTAGCATGGACCCCACTGTGGGCACAAATGCAAATTTTTTACGGATGAATTTCTCACAGGGGCATCTGATATAGGTGAAACAATATAAGAGCCCTCTGGGTGCTGAGTACCTAGTGGAACTAAAGGTAGATGGAAATACAGTAGTGGAGAGAAGGGAAAATTTTGAGGGGTTGAGACATCCTGAATGTAGTGGAATGGGGAAGTAAATTTGATGAAATGGAGTATCTAGCTGGAAAATGCAGGGCAGCTGAGACCTTCATACCAAGAAGATGCAGAAACAATAATGACAGACCTCTATACTTCACAGCCACATCAGAAGAGAGACTGTAAAGAACCAAGTAATTCGTCCAAGGAAGGAGGAGAGTTCATGAACAATGACAAGGAAGGTTGGGAAGTGTTGATAAATATGAATACATCATCTGGGGCAATACCAGACACACTAAGGAACTGGGAGTACACAAAAATACAGGATACCATCCATACAACATGGAAAGAGGTTAAGAAACTTCTGATGAGCCTAGATACATTAAATGCAATGGGATCTGATAGGTCACCATGAATTCTGTAAGAGGGTGCAGAAGCACTGTCTAAACCACCAGGCATTACCTACAATACATCAACTTATATGGGACAATTACCCAAGATCTGGAAGACAGCAAATGTAGTCTCCTTAGGGAAAGAGACAAACAGACCACTTTCTCTGATATGCATACCTTGCAAGGTACCCTAAAAACTCCTCAGAGGAAGAATGGTAGGACACTTGGAGCGAAGCAATTTTGTAAACAATAACCAGCATGTGTTTAGGGATAACAAATCTTGTTTTCCTAACTTGTTGGAGTTACATGGCAAAGGAACAGATGTGCGACAAGAGAGAGCATTGAGTGGATTGCATTTTGGGGGGGGGGGAATGCACTAGAGAGAGTGTTGGGTGGATTGCATTTTTTTTTGAGAGAGAGAATGCACAAGAGAGAGGGTTGGGTGGATTGCATTTTTTGGGGGGGGGGGGGGAGAATGCAAGGAGTTTGATACTGTACCCCATAAGAGACTGGGCCAAAAACTTAGGTTATAAAATTGTGAATCTGGAGAGTGGCGAGTTAAGAAGCAGGGACAGGATCTGAGAATCAACCTCAAACTTAGCCCACAAACGGTCCAAACGTATATATACGTTTTTTCAACATTTCATAGTATTTAAAAAAAAGTAGATCTTTTTTTTTTTTTTTTTTTTTACATTTGAAAACGTGTAAAAAACTTTGATCCATGTTTTTTTTTTGTTATATTTGAAAATATGTAAAAAAAACGTAGATCTACTTTTGGGGCACTACGCATGTGAACGTAGATCTGCTTGGACCGTTTATGGGTTAAGATTTCATTTCAACTTACTCTTCAATGTTTGTTGTAAGAAGGTAAGATAATGGTACTGAAGTAAATACTTCACATTCATTGCTCAGCGAATGTGGTGACGTAGGTGTTGGATACGTTGTGCAAGATAATGTCTCACTGATGGAAGATTTAAGCTGTCCCAAGTGATCCTTGATACTGAGCCAGCCGCCACGAATGTTCACAGCTAGGCATTGGATACTCTCCACTCCATCTTGCTATGGTACAAACATCAAAATTTAACCAAGAAATTAGTCGTTTTATAATCACAAGAATAATAACTTCCAATTTTTGGATGATTAAATGGTTAATCTGTTATTATAATGTTTAACAAAAATAATATGAGCTGACTAAATATGGAACATCTGCAATGCTTAACAATATTCTCATGAGAACTAAAGTTATCTAAAAATAGCTATAATAAATCCTCATAATGAGAATGGTATGCATCGAAACTTTCTCTGAATACAAATTGCAGTTATTGAAGGTGTGATGATAAATACATTTTTTTTTTTTCAACAAGTTGGTCATCTACCACCTAGGCAGGGTGACCCAAAAAGAGAGGAAATCCCCAAAATGAAAATACTTTCATCATCATTCAACACTTTCACCTCACTCATACATAATCATTGTTTTTGCAGAGGCACTCAGATACAACAGATTAGAAGCATTTATTTATTTATTTAGAAATTTTTAGCATACATACAGAGGTACAAAAAAATACAGGTAAGAGCAGCATGCCAAAGCCACTTATATGCATAGCATTACGGGCTGGCTTAAAATTAACTAAGCAATGATGAAATCAGTGATAAGACATTATTGTAAACAGATAACTATACAGCACAAATGAGTATTACAAAGACAGGTCATATGGTTGCATGCATTGCTGTTCATTCAGTAGAATGGAGTATTCTGTTAGGTAGTGTATTTAAAAATTAACAAAGTTAGATTGGGTCCTAGGTTTAACATTTATGTGATATAATTGTAAGTAACATTTTGGATATACAATTTATAAGGTTCAGTTATTCAGTATTTATTTGGTTTTGAGTGAGTAAGTGAACTTTGAGAAGAGACTTGAATTTATAAACAGGTAGTGTTTCTTTTATATTTACAGGTAATGAATTCCAGATTTTAGGGCCTTTTATGTGCATTGAGTTTTTGCATAGCGTGAGATGGACACGAGGAACATCAAAGAGTGATCTGTGCCTTGTGTTTATGGTCATGTGTTCTGTTGAGGTTGGCAGGAGATGTTTGAGGGAGAGTTAATATCAGAGTTAAGTGTTCTATGTATGTAATAGGTGCAATAATAAGTATGGATGTTTTGTATGGTGAGTAGGTTGAGTGTTTTGAATATTGGTGGTGTGTGTTGCCTGTAGTGAGAATTTGTTATCATTCTAACTGCAGCCTTTTGTTGGGTAATTAGTGGTCTGAGATGGTTAATTGTTGTTGAGCCCATGCACAAATTCCATAGGTGAGATAGGGGTAAATAAGAGTGTGATAAAGGGCCAGGAGGGCTGACTGTGGAACATAGTACCGTATCTTCGATAGTATGCCTACAGTCTTGGAAATTTTCTTAGAAATTTGTTGCATATGTGTATGAAATTTGAGTCTATTATCGAGGTGGATTCCTAAGAATTTTCCCTCTGTTAGCTTTGTGATAGGTGATCCGTTTATCGTTATGTTAAGAGGTACATCTGTAGCTCTGTTACCAAACTGAATGAAGTAGGTTTTGTCAATGTTTAGTGTAAGTTTGTTAGTCCTCATCCAGGTGGATATTTTCTGTAATTTCGGTGTTTACAGTATTGGCTAGCGTGACTGGGCTCGGGTGAGAGAAGACGTATGTAGTGTCATCTGCAAAAAGTGTGGGTTTGAGTAATTGCGAAGCATTTGGTAGGTCATTTATGTATAGGAGAAAGAGAAGAGGGCCAAGGACACTTCCCTGTGGGACACCAACTGTAATTGGTTGTGCGGAAGAGCTTGCCCATTTGCGTACACATATGGCTTCTGTTGCTGAGGTAAGACTTGAGGTAGTTGAGGGAGTGCCCTCTAATACCATAGTGTGACAATTTACGTGGAGCAAGTCATGGTCAACTGTATCAAAAGCTTTACGTAAGTCAATGAAGATCCCCAGTGGGACTTCTTTTTTCTCTATTGCAGTGTATATATGTTCTAGCATGTGTATAAAAAGCATCATTAGTATTTTTATTAGGCCTGAATCCAAATTGGCAGGGGTTGAGAATGTTTTGGGAGATGAGGTAGGAGTAGATTCGTTTATGAATTAATTTTTCGAGATTTTTGAGAGAGGGTGTAAATTGGATATTGGCCTATAGTTATTCAACTCTGTTTGGTCTCCTCCTTTATGGATCGGGGTGACCCTTGCTATATTGAGAACTGCAGGGAAGGTGGAGGATTCAATGGATTTGTTAAAGAGTGTTGCAATGATTGGTGATAGTACTTGTGATGCTTTTTTGTATATAAAGGGTGGTAAGGTATTTAAATCTCCTGCCTTGTTTTTCAGTGCGTTGATAATAAGGGAGACTTCGTATGGGTTGTCGGAGCTAGGAAACAGTGTGTTCGGGTAGTTGCCAGTGAGGTAGTCATTTTGGGGGGTATCTGAGCTTGGGATTTTATTGGCAAGGTTTTGACCTATAGTGGAGAAGAAATCATTGAGTCTGTTTGCTGTTTCTGTTGGTGGGAGTTGAGGTTCATCTGATTTTACTAATTTTATTTCGCTATGTCGTGATATCTTTTTTGTTCCCAGAATTTCTGATAGGGTCTTCCAGGTCTTTTTTATATCACCTCGTAAGTTGGATAATCTGTTCTCATAATACAATTTTTTGCCCTTCTTATCAGGCTGGTTAGGATTGACGAGTAACATTTTGTTTGGTCTCTGGTTATGTGACCCATTCTGTACTGTTTTTCATATCGGTGTTTTGTATTTATGGATTTGAGAATGCTGGGTGTTAGCCAGGGACTGTTCAGTCTCTTAGCTGTCATCTGTTTAGTTTTTTTAGGGCAGTGCTTGTTATAAAGGTATTGGGTCTTTTTTAGAAAATTATTAAAACATTCGTCAATATCTGTATAGATTTCTAGCTCAGTGTGCCAGTCAATGTTTGTTACTGCTGTTGTGAAGTTATTAATGGCAGATACAATATATAATGCGACCTGAAATAATATAATAAACTCCACATAGAATATAATATCAGGGGACCAATTATATATATATTTTTTCAACAAACCGGCCGTATCCCACAAAGGCAGGGTGGCCCAAAAAGAAAAACGAAAGTTTATCTTTTTAAATTTAGTAATTTATACAAGAGAAGGGGTTACTAGACCCTTGTCCCCGGCATTTTAGTCGCCTCTTACAACATGCAGGGCTTACAGAGGAAGAATTCTGTTCCACTTCCCCATGGAGATAAGAAGAAATAAACAAGACCAAGAACCAGAAAGAAAATAGCAGAAAACCCAGAGGAGTGTGTATATACTATATGCTTGTACATGTATGTGTAGTGTGACGCAAGCGTAAGTAGACGTACCTGAAATCTTGCACATGCCTCAAAACTGCCAATATCCCAGACCCCTCCTTTAAAGTGCAGGCATTGTACTTCCCATTTCCAGAACTCATGTCCGGCTATATAAAAATGACCAGTTTCCCTGAATCCCTTCACTAAATATTACCCTGCTCACACTCCAACAGCTCGTCAGATCCCAAAAACCATTCGTCTCCATTCACTCCCATCTAACACGCTCATGCACGCTTGCTTTAAGTCCAAGCCCCTCGCCCACAAAACCTCCTTTACCCCCTCCCTCCAACCTTTTCGAGGACGACCCCTACCCCGCCTTCCTTTCCCTACAGATTTATATGCTCTCCATGTCATTCTACTTTGATTCATTCTCTCTAAATGGCCAAACCACCTCAACAACCCCTCTTCAGGCCTCTAATACTTTTATTAACTCCACACCTTCTCCTAATTTCCACACTTCAAATTCTCTGCATAATATTTACACCACACATTGCCCTTAGACAGGACATCTCCACTGCCTCCAACCACCACCTTGCTGCAGCATTTACAACCCAAGCTTCACACCCATATAAGAGTGTTGGTGCCACTATACTTTCATACATTCCCTTCTTTGCCTCCATTGATAATGTTTTTTTCTCTTCCCATATACATACCTCAAGCACCACTCACCTTTTTTTCCTCATCAATCCTATGGCTAACCTTCTTTCTTTCATAAACCCATTTGCTGACACATCAACTCCCAAATATCTGAAAATATTCTCTTCTTCTATACTCCTCTCTAATGTGATATCCAATTTTTCTTCATCTAAATCACTTGATACGCTCATCACCTTACTCTTATCTATGTTCACTTTCAACTTTCTACCTTTACACACTCTCCCAAACTCGTCCACTAACCTTTGCAACTTTTCTGCCCCACATTCTAATATTGCATTTTTAAAACTATTCCAACCCTCTTCAACCCCCCCCCCCCCACTACTCATACTTGCACTAGCCCACCTTTCTGCCAACAGTTGCTTATAGCACACCTAACTTCTTCCTCCTCCCTTAGTTTATACACTTTCACCTCTCTCTTACTCATTTCCATTTTCATCTCGTCCCATCTACCTCTTACTCTAACTGTAGCTACAACTAAATAATGATCCGATGTATCAGTTGCCCCTCTAAAAACATGTACATCCTAAAGCTTACCCATCAACCTTTTATCCACCAATACATAATCTAACAAACTACTTTCATTAAGTGCTATATCATACCTTGCATACTTATTTATCCTCTTTTTCATAAAATATGTATTACTTATTACCAAACCTCTTTCTACACATAGCTCAATTAAAGGTTCCCTATTTTCATTTACCCTGGCACCCCAAATTTACCTACTACTCTCTCTAAATGTTAAAGATCAATTGGGGAAATATACAAGTTTGAAAAACATAAAGAGTAGTTTGGAGTGCCATCTGAATTATAGTATCAGCATGCTTCTAGCAAGACAGTAGTGGAGTGAATGATGGTGAATGTTTTTTTTTTTTTTTTTTTGGGGGGGGGGGGGGACACCCAACCTCAGTGGAAGATGGCAGGTGCTTGGAGAGAGAAAAAAAAAAAAGCCTTACTCTAAAAAGATAAATAAATATAGAAAGAATTCTAAATTTCAACTGAAAAGAATAAAAGCTTATAACATTGAAGGAAGTGCATTTAAGATCTGAAGAAGAAAAAGAAAAAAAAATAACCATGTACTGTATGCTGTATCTGCACCTAGGGAACACTTGATATGAGAAGGTTCCCAAGTGATTTGACATTTGTCTAAGGGTGGGGCATATACTGGTCACAGGTGCTATGAATGAATAATGTGTGTGCACCATGTACTGTATAATGTCACTATAGTTACTGAGTATTTCATATTTACACATAATAGGTGAAATATCAGCAAAGTACAGGTCGGCCATCACTATTCCGGCATCACTGAGATTTGTAGTGTGCTGGATTACAGAGTGCTTAGGTTAGAATACACTTAATTAACCTATCAAAAGAGCCACGATCTGTTACATCTTCCTCATTTTCATCACTGCTTTCTCCTCCACTGGCTTGCTGTTGTGGATTTACAGCCATCTGCACAATTTCTTAGTCAGTATAATTATGAAATTTGAAATTATGCTAGCCGAAATTAGTGCCGGATTACTGATGGCCGACCTGTACAGCAACTGCAGAATAAACCATGCTGAAACAAAAAATTCAACAATATGCAGATGTTGCTGTTTTGCTTACTACTCAGGTACAGAGTTTTGTAGAAAGGATAGAATGTTTAAGGATGCATGCAGAAGACTGCTGAGAAAAAATGTTAATGTAAATAAAGTCCAGTTTTAAAAAGACAGGTGTCTTACCAAATAAGTTTGGATGAATAAATTTCTGTGAATGATTTGTATATCTGGGAAAAGTGCTTAATAAAGATAGTAACAGTGATTAATTTCCATTATGGACACTTGACACAGTTCAAAAATGTTATACTCACAACTTCTTTGTTGAAACTCATTATCTTGGCATGCTTAGCTGTTACAGCATCTCGAGCTCGAGCTGCAACATCAGCACGTTCTTGGAGAGATGCAGTGAGGGCCTGAGCAGTGTTAAGCGCTGCATGCTCACCCGCCAGTGATATATTCTCTTTTACCATATTTATTACTGCAGTAGCCAAAGCATCTTCACAATATGTGCGCTGCAGAAATAAATATTTACATTATCAGTTCAGTATACTAGGAAATGGATGACTCAATGGTGTGATACATAGGAAAAATAAGCACAAGATTCAGAAAAGTGTGGTGACCAGTAGAGTAGGTGTCATCTTTAGTACAGGATCACAACTTACTACATGTGTGAATTGAGGTAATGTGCAGTATGGTACATTCATGATGTAAAGCTCTTTTCTGTGTTCACTTTTAATTTCCCTCTTTTACATACCTTACCAAATCTGTCCACCAACCTTTGCAACTTCTCTCCAGAATTTCCCAAAGCATGGTGTCATTGGCAATGATTTCTTAGTAATTATGGAGCACAGATACATCTTTTATGTTAATTGTAAAATTATATTAAATAAAAAATAAACTAAAAATACAAGACAGTAGACAGCAGACAGCAACCACCCAGGGAGGTACTACCATCCTGCCAAGTGAGTGGAAAATGAAAGCCTGTAATTGTTTTACATGATGGTAGGATTGCTGGTGTCTTTTGTCTGTCTCATAGATATGCAAGATTACAGATACATCTTGCTACTTCTACTTACACTTAGGTCACACTACACATACATGTACACATTTATGTATACACGCTCATCTGAGTTTTCTTTGATTATATCATAATAGTTCTTGTTCTTATTACTTTTCCTTTTATATCCATGGGGAAGTGGAATAAGAATCTTTCCTCCGTAAGCCATGGGTGTTGTAAAAGTCAACTAAAATGCCGGGAACAATGGGCTAGTAACCCTTTTTCCTGTAATAATTACTAAAAAGAATAAGAAGAAAATCGTCAAAGTGGGAAGTCTGAATGTGCGTGGATGTTGTGCGAATGATAAGAAAGCGATGATTGTGGATGTTATGAATGAGAAGAAGCTGGATGTCCTGGCTTTAAGTGAAACAAAGCTGAAGGGGGTGGGAGAGTTTCAGTGGAGAGAAATAAATGGGATTAGGTCAGGGGTTTCAAATAGAGTTAGAGCTAAAGAAGAAGTAGCAATAATGTTGAAGGATAAGTTTTGGAAGGAAAAGAGGGACTACAAATGTATTAATTCAAGGATTATGTGGAGTAAAATAAAGGTTGGATGTGAAAAGTGGGTTATAGTAAGCGTATATGCACCTGGAGAAGAGAGAAGTGTAGAGGAGAGAGAGAGATTTTGGGAAATGTTGAGTGAATGCATGGGGAGTTTTGAACCAAGTGTGAGAGTAATGGTGGTCGGGGATTTCAATGCTAAAGTGGGCAAAAATGTAGAGGGAGTAGTAGGTAATTTTGGGGTTCCAGGGGTAAATGAAAATGGGGAGCCTTTAATTGAGCTATGTGTAGAAAGAGGTTCGGTAATAAGTAATACATATTTTATGAAGAAGAGGATAAATTTAAAAATACAAGGTATGATATAGCACGTAATGAAAGTAGTTTGTTAGATTATGTATTGGTGGATAAAAGGGTTTGTGGGTAGGCTCCGGGATTTTACACTTTAAGAGGGGCAACTGATTATCAGTTTTTATTTAGTTGAGCTCAGTTAGGTAAGAGGTAGGTGGAAAAGGGAAAATGGCAACAAAAAGCAAGGGGAGGTGAAAGTTATAAACTAAGGGAGGAGGAAGTTCGAGTGAGATATAAGCAACTTTTGGGCAGAAAGGGGGGCGGGTGCAATATGAGTAGGGGGGGGGGGTTGAAGAGGGTTGGATAGTTTTAAAAAATGCGTATAAAAGGGGGGCAAAAGTTTGGGTTATAGGAGAGTGGGTGCAGAATGAATAGGGGATTGGGGGAATGATGAAGAAAAGGTGTGTAAAAAAAAAAAGTTACTTATGAGAGGTTTTTTACAAAAGAAGTGTTTTAAAAAGGCAGGTATATGGAGAGTAAAAGAAAGGTAAAGAGAGGGGTGAGGTGTGCAAAAAAGAGACGTCATAGAGTAGGGAGGCACTTAAAGGGAAATTTTTAATAAAAATAAGAAAAAATTTTGGGTGAGTTAAACAATTTAAGAAAGCCTAAGAATGAATGGATTGTCATTTAAAAAAAGTGGAGATGTAAGGGGGAGATGGGGGTTTTTTGGGTAATGGGAAAAAATTTTTGAGAACTTTTAAATGTCGAGAAAAAAGGGAAGCGATAATTTCATGCACTGGCCAGGGAGGTATCCCCATCATTTAGGATGAAGAAGAACAGGTGTGAGTGGGGGAGGTGTGTGGGGCATTAGTAAAATTTAAAAAAGGGGGGAAAGAGCGGAACTGATAGGTCATGACAGAAAAAAAGCGGGGGGGGATATGGGTTTTTGGGGGGTTGGTATTTTTTTTTAAATTAATTGTATGAAAGAGGGGAAGGTCCCTAGGGTTTGGGCAGAGAGCAGTATTTTCCCCTTAAAAAAGGGGAAGGGGACAAAGAGATTGTAAAAATTATGAGGAATAATTTTTATGAGATCCAAAAAAAGTGTACGGTAGGGTTTTAATTGAAAGAATTAGAGGTAGACAGAATGTAGGGTTGGGATGAGCAAGGAGGTTTCAGAGTGGGTAGGGGATGTGTAGATCAAATGTTTACATTGGGCTATATGTGAACGTATTTAGATAAAGGAGGGAAATTTTTATTGCATTATGAAATTTTAAAAAAGGCTATGATAGAGTGGATAGGGAGAATGTGGCAATGTTAAAAGTATATGGAATAGTTGGTAAGTTACTAATCTGTAAAGAGTTTTTATGAGGATAGTGAGGCTCAGTTAGGGGGTGTAGAAGAGGGGGATACTTCCCAGTAAAATAGGTCTTTGACGGGATGTTAAGTCACCAGGTTTTTAATATATTTATAGATGGGGGTTTTAAAAGAAATAAATGCTAGGGTTTCGGGAGAGGGGGGGGATTTAAATTAAGGGGGAAACAAAAACAAAAGGGAATTGACACAGTTGCTTTTTGCTGATGTACGTGCTCATGGGAGATTCTAAAAAAAAAATTTCAAAAGGGTTAGTGGATGGTTTGGGAATGTGTGTAAAGGTGAAAGTTGAAAGTGAACATAGAAAAGAGTAAAGGGGATGAGGGGACAAATGATTTAATAAGAAAAATTGGATATCAAAAAGGGGGGGAAGTTTTGGAAGAATGAAGTTTTCAGTATTGGGAGTTACGTGTCTGCGGGTGGATTATGAAGGATGAGGTTATCAAAAAATTTATGAGGAAAAAAGCGAGTGGGGCTTGAGGTATTTTGGGGGAAAAAAAAATGTTATCCATGGAGGGAAAGAAAGGGAATGTTGAAAGTATAGCAGAAACCCCACTTTAATGGGGGGTTTAAGCTTGGGTTTTGAATGCAGCAGCGAGGAGGCGGTTGGAGGGAAATGGGGATTGTCTAAGGGGGAAAATGTGGTGTAAATATTTTGCGAAAATTTTAGTTGTGGAAATTAGAGGGGTGGAGTTTAAAAAAAGTTTAGTCAGAGGGCGAAGGGGGTTTTTGAGGTGGTTTGGCCCTTTTGAAAGGGGGTCAAATTTAAAAGACAGGGAGCGTATAAATCTGTAGGGTAAGGAAGGCGGGGTAGGGGTCGTCTTCGAAAAGGTTGGAGGGAGGGGGTAAAGGAGGTTTTGTGGGCAAGGGGTTTGGACTTCCAGCAAGCGTGCGTGAGCTTGTTAGATAGGAGTGAATGGAGACGAATGGTATTTGGGACCTGACGATCTGTTGGAGTGTGAGCAGGGTAATATTTAGTGAAGGAATTCAGGGAAAGCGGTTATTTTTATATAGCTGGACTCGAGTCCTGGAAATAGGAAGTACAATCCCTGCACTCTAAAGGAGGGGTTCGGGATATTAGCAGTTTGGAGGGATATGTTGTGTATCTTTATAGGTATATGCTTCTAAACTGTTGTGTTCTGAGCACCTCTGCAAAAACAGTGATTATGTGCGAGTGAGGTGAAAGTGTTGAATGATGATGAAAGTATTTTCTTTTTGGGGATTTTCTTTCTTTTTTGGGTCACCCTGCCTCGGTGGGAGACGGCCGACTTGTTAAAAAAAAAAAAAATGTATGAAAGAGGGGAAGGTACCTAGGGACTGGCGGAGAGCATATATAGTCCGTTTATATAAAGGGAAGGGGGACAAAAGAGATTGTAAAAATTATAGAGGAATAAATTTACTGAGTATACCAGGAAAAGTGTACGGTAGGGTTATTATTGAAAGAATTAGAGGTAAGACAGGATCTAGGATTGCAGATGAGCAAGGAGGTTTTAGAGTGGGTAGGGGATATGTACATCAAGTGTTTACATTGAAGCATATATGTAAACAGTATTTAGATAAAGGTAGGGAAGTTTTTATTGCATATATGGATTTAGAAAAGGCATATGATAAGAGTGGATAGGGGAGCAATGTGGCACATGTTAAAAGTATATGGAATAGGTGGTAAGTTACTAAATGCTGTAAAGAGTTTTTATGAGGATAGTGAGGCTCAGGTTAGGGTGTGTAGAAGAGAAGGAGACTATTTCTCGGTGAAAGTAGGCCTTAGACAGGATGTGTAATGTTACCATGGTTGTTTAATATATTTATAGATGGGGTGGTAAAGGAAGTAAATGCTAGGGTGCTTGGGAGAGGGGTGGGATTAAATTATGGGGAATCAAATACAAAATGGGAATTGACACAGTTACTTTTTGCTGATGATACTGTGCTTATGGGAGATTCTAAAGAAAAATTGCAAAGGTTAGTGGATGAGTTTGAGAGAGTGTGTAAAGGTAGAAAGTTGAAAATGAACAAGGTGATGAGGGTATCAAATGATTTAGATAAAGAAAAATTGGATATCAAATTGGGGAGGAGGAGTATGGAAGAGGTGAATGTTTTCAGATATTTGGGAGTTGACGTGTCAGCGGATGGACTTATGAAAGATGAAGTTAATCATAGAATTGATGAAGGAAAAAAGGTGAATGGTGCATTGAGGTATATGTGGAGAAAAAAAAACATTATCTATGGAGGCAAAGAAGGAAATGTATGAAAATATAGTAGCACCAACACTTATATGGGTGTAAAGCTTGGGTTGTAAATGCTGCAGCGAGGAGGTGGTTGGAGGCAGTGGAGATGTCCTGTCTAAGGGCAATGTGTGGTGTGAATATTATGCAGAAAATTCAGAGTGTAGAAATTAAGAGCAGGTGTGGAGTTAATAAAAGAGGGGTTGTTGAGGTGGTTTGGTCATTTAGAGAGAATGGATCAAAGTGGAATGACATGGAGAGCATATAAATCTGTAGGGGAAGGAAGGCATGGTAGGGGTCGTCCTCGAAAAGGTTGGAAAGGAAGGGGTAAGGGAGGTTTTGTGGGTGAGGGGCTTGGACTTCCAGCAGGCGTGCATGAGCATGTTCGATAGGAGTGAATGGAGATGAATGGTATTTGGGACCTGACGATCTGTTGGAGTGTGAGCAGGGTAATATTTAGTGAAGGGATTCAGAGAAACCGGTTATTTTTGTATAGCCAACTCAAGTCCTGGAAATGGGAAGTACAATGCCTGCACTCTAAAGGGGGAGTTCGGGATATTAGCAGTTTGGAGGGATATGTTGTGTATCTTTATACGTATATGCTTCTAAACTGTTGTGTTCTGAGCACCTCTGCAAAAACAGTGATTATGTGTGAGTGAAGTGAAAGTGTTGAATGATGATGAAAGTATTTTCTTTTTGGGGATTTTCTTTCTTTTTGGGTCACCCTGCTTCGGTGGGAGATGGCCGACTTGTTAAAAAAAAAAAAAAAAAAAAAAAAATATTATATAGATACAGTGGTCCCTCAATAATCGTCCATAATCCGTTCCTGGAAGTGGGACTATTATCGAAATGGACGATTTTCGAATCAATTTTCCCCATAAGAAATAATGTAAATCCAATTAATTCGTTCCAGACACCCAGAAGTATCAACAACAATTTTTTTTTTTACCTAAAAGATAGATTTACATGCGCAAAAGAATGAACATTCAACATGACAGTTAGCTTTATTGAAGGCTGTTGTTGATGAAGGGAAGACAGGGAGGAGGAGAGAGGGAAGAGAGGTTATTTGGAAGGGGAATCCCCCTCCATAAGGACTCTAGAGCACTAATAAAATGTATAAATGAACATTGGTAATAGGGGTAGTTGATGAGTGGAATGGTCTGCCTAGTAGGGTGATCGAAGCTAAAATATTGGGTAGTTTCAAATTTAGGTTGGATAAATACACGAGATAGAGGGGTTGGATTTGAGTCGGACTTGCACCTGAGCTTATTGCTTGGGTAGCATTTGTTCTGTTAGTGGATTGGATTTGTGAAGGACCGGCCTAGTATGGGCCAACAGGCCTATTGCAGTGTTCCTCCTTTCCAATGTTCTAAAAGCTATGGCTTGGGTAGTTTCAAATTTAGGTTGGATAAATACACGAGTGAAAGAGGTTGGATTTGAGTCGGACTTGCACCTGAGTTTATTGCTTGGGTAGCATTTGTTCTGTTAGTGGGTTGGATTTGTGAAGGACCGGCCTAGTATGGGCCAGCAGGCCTGTTCCAGTGTTCCTAAAGTTCTTATTTAACATCACACTTACCAGTAGGGTGACCGAGGCTAGGACCTTGGGTAGCTTCAAGAAGAGATTGGACAAATATATGAGTTGGAGGAGCTGAGTTTGATTTGTGTCATTGGGTACGGGAGTAAATTCTTGGGTAGCTTTGGGTGGAGGTAATTTTGATAAGGACCTGCCTTGTATGGGCCAGTAGACCTGCAGTGTTCTTCCATTGTTATGTTTTTACTATTTGTTTGTGAGGGAGGGATGGCAAGTTTATTGTTGTAATAAAGTTGGTAGAATTACCGACAATATGTAAAGTAAAAGGACACAAGTGCAACTAATGTGACATTTTATTGTGGCAACGTTTCGCTCTCCAGGAGCTTTATCAAGCCATTACAAACAATACATGGACACAGAGGGTATATAAAGGCTCTGAGTGAGGTGCAATACTAGGAACATCGAAATGGTACCTCACTAGTATTCACCTCACTCTGAGCCTTTATATACCCTCTGTGTCCATGTATTGTTTGTAATGGCTTGATAAAGCTCCTGGAGAGCGAAACGTTGCCACAATAAAATGTCACATTAGTTGCACTTGTGTCCTTTTACTTTACAAGTTTATTGTTGGAGAATATGACACTAATATCAACTCTATGGCTTATTTATCTATCACAATTCAACTAATATGACATAATAAACAATATTAATAACATAGAAACATGGAATATACTCTAGAATTAATAAAATAAGTCATTACGTATGTCACGAGAGGTGTTGTGTTGTGTTGTTGTTGGGTATATAAGGGCCACTGAGTGTAAGCCGTCCATAATGGTGGTGAGGCGGCGGTGGTTTTTGTAGCCCTATATAACTTCAACAACATTGGAGGAGTGGTAAAATCGCTGAATCACTAAAGAAGGAACCCTCCACCACCATCACTACAACCTTCTACCACTATTACAACTGTTACGTTTACCACCATCACTACTACCTTCTACCACCATCACTACTACCTTCTACCACCATCACTACTACCTTCTACCACCATCACTACTACCTTCTACCACCATCACTACTACCTTCTACCACCATCACTACTACCTTCTACCACCATCACTACTACCTTCTACCACCATCACTACCACCAAAGAAAGCTTCTAGTGCCAGCCCTTTGGTAAAGAATGTGAGAAACACATAATTCATGAAAAAGTTTGTAGAAAAATACAAAGCTGGTGGTGGTAGAGTGGAAGCAGTTGTGATAGTGGTTGATGAACATAAGAATATAAGAACTTAAGAAAGGAGGATCACTGCAGCAGGTCTGTTGGCCCATGCTCGGCAGGTCCTTTACAATTCATCCCACTAACGAAACATTTTTCCAACCCAGTCCTCAATGCTACCCAAGAAATAAGCTCTGATAACTCTATCCACTCATTTGGGACTTGCAAATGAGTGGATAGAGTTATCAGAGCTTATTTCTTGGGTAGCATTGAGGACTGGGTTGGGAAAATGTTTCGTTAGTAAAGGACCTGCCGAGCATGGGCCAACAGGCCTGCTGCACTGATCCTCCTTTCTTATGTTCATCAACCACTATCACAATTGCTTCCACTCTACCACCACCATCTTTGTATTTTTCTACAAACTTTTTCATAAATTATGTGTTTCTCACATTCTTTACCAAAGGGCTGGCACTAGAAGCTTTATTTGGAGCCATGGTAGCTTATTTAGCACTTGCAAGCACTAAAATCAATGGAATATTATGAAATATTTTGTAGGAGCATGTGAGGGGACTGTCACTCACTGGTAAACAATGGCACACTGGCTGGGAAAGAAAGGCCGAGGCGGCTCAGAGTGTGAGTACGCGTCCAAGACAAAGGACTATTAGGACTATTAGCGAGTTACCGGACCATTTGCGAGCCAATATTTTGACGAAAAAACAGGACTATTTCCGAAATGGACGACTTTCAGGCCGGACGATTGAGGGACCACTGTATATAAACTGGGATTTTCATAAAAAAATCCTGGGCAAACTGGGTTTAAGATAAAAAAAAAAAGAAGTGTGCTTAAGAACCCTATAAATAACACAAGCTTACCACATTAAAAAGAAAAAAATTAGGGCTTACCCTGGCAACAGAAGCTATGTTGTTGTTGAGTGCGCTGATTGCACGAGTTAAAGACAGGGCTGCCTGGTCAGCCTGATGTGCTTCCACATACAGCTTAACATGGGCTGCACTCATCTGGCCAAGCAATTCACGTACAGATTCTATCACTCCTCCTGGGTTCATCTCATCAATAAATGATCCATCACTCTCACACTTTAGTCTAGAAAGCCAAAGTTATTAAAGTTGGCTCTGCTAAAGAGATCTAGAACTGCAGCATTCTTAACAACAAATTCTAATTTTGAATTAATGGAGCATAATTTACAGTGTTTCTTTCAATACACCAGCCATATCCCACCAAAGCAGGGTGACCCAAAAATAAAAATGAGAGTTTCTCTTTATAAATTTAGTAATGTATACAGGAGAATGGGTTACTAGTCCCTGGCTCTCAGCATTTTAGTTGCCTCTTATGATATCATGGCTTACGGAAGAATTCTGTTCCACTTCCCCACAGAGAACAATTTACAATCATCCCTACAAATCTGGGGGGATGTTTACACTCCTTGAGATACTGTGAAACCAGTAGCTGCGAATAATACAAAGTTAAATCTACATAACACATTTTGCTTCAGAGATCTTTGTAATTTATAGTTCTAATCTGCTTAACACTCATGAATGAAAAATGAAATTTAGAAAATTTATAATAGTTACAAAAAGCAGAATGGAAGCTAAGTGGAAAACCACTATAAATGAACAGCATTTCAAGAATGCAAATAAGAAAAAAAGCCTAAAATAAAGAGAGATTTGGATGTGGGAAAGCCATCAAGTTAGAAAAACAATGGATAATTGAATCTATCCTAGGTAGTTGGTTGGTAGACAGCAACCGCCCAGGGAGGTACTACCGTCCTGCCAAGCGAATGTAAAACGAAAGCCTGTAATTGTTTTACATGATGGTAGGGATTGTTGGTGTTCAGGTACTTCTTGCTACTTCTGCTTACACTTAGGTCACACTACACATACATGTACAAACATATATATACATATACCCCTCTGGGTTTTCTGTTATTTTCTTTCTAGTTCTTGTTTATTTCCTCTTATCTCCATGGGGAAGTGGAACAGAATTCTTCCTCCGTAAGCCATGCGTGTTGTAAGAGGCGACTAAAATGCCGGGAGCAAGGGGCTAGTAACCCCTTCTCCTATATATATTACTAAATGTAAAAGGAGAAACTTTCGTTTTTCCTTTTGGGCCTTGGTGGGATATGGCCGTTGTGTTGAAAGAATTGAATCTATTTGCTCATTGTCCTGGAAATCTGCAAATACATAAGCCCACAAATTTAAAATTACAACTATGCATAAAAAAGAAAAAAAATTCCCTTATTCTTTAAAGTGCAGAAAACAGGAATTTCTGTAGCTGATAGCAACCAGTTGTAAACTAGACAAATATAAAAATGCACGTAGAGCACAAAGGAACTTTTGAAGTAGAGTGCCAAAATAAAATACTGCAATATATAAATCACAAAAAACTATGCAATGAAAGAATAAAGGTAAAAAAAGCAGTTTTCTCTACAGATAACATGGCCAAGCCCGCATACCAATTTCCTTTAAACTTTACAATACATAATTTAAACTAAAAACAGCACATTTTACTTTAATTAATATGAATAATAAGATTAAACTATATCAAGTGCATACATTGCCTTAGTAAACTCAGTCATTTCTTCAATAGCTGAAAAAAAAAAATTTTTTACCTAAGTTCTCGTGCATCTCTTGCCAAATCAACGAGTTGAACCTGAGAGTGAAGCCTGCGAGTGCTTTCCCGAACTTCACTTAAAATACCATCTAGCAGCACCCTAGGATTCCAGTTATCCAGGGTTACTCTAATTTGCTCCCATAAGCATACCTATGAGGTAAAAAATAATGAAAAGAACTCTCATTTAAATGAAACTCCAATATAAAATCATATGAATAAATATTTAAAAAACAATTTAAGTTTAAGGTAAAAATAATACAAATATGAGATGGAAAAATATAAATAAATCTAGGAATGGTTCAATTCCACAAGCATGTTTAAAGAGAGAGACAATTTTCTACCATAATAAAGGAGGAAGTTAGAGATACAGTGGACCCCCGCTTAACGATCACCTCCCAATGCGACCAATTATGTAAGTGTATTTATGTAAGTGCATTTGTACGTGTATGTTTGGGGGTCTGAAATGAACTAATCTACTTCACAATATTCCTTATGGGAACAAATTCGGTCAATACTGGCACCTGAACATACTTCTGGAATGAAAAAATATTGTTAACCGGGGGTCCACTGTATTTGATTTTTGGAGGGACATCTAAACTGTCGTATCTGCATGCCTCTGGCAAGACTAGTAGTGTGAGTGATGGCGAGTTTGTTTTTTGGGTCACCCTGCCTCGATGGGAGATGGTCAGTGTTAAAAAAAAAAAATATATAATCTTTCATAAGATACACCAATATTTCAACTTTTAAAATTATCTAAACCACCAGCACCTCAAATCACATCTTCACAATCAAAGGATTCTCCTCCTCCTCAAAAGTGCTATATCATTCAGAGATGATTTTGGATGGGTTATGGAAAAAAATTATGGAGAAACAGACTTCATGAAATCCTTTGGACAAATACAACCATGGTGCCATTGTGCAGGAAATCCATTCTAAAGAAGGTGGTGTAGTGTTTGTTTGAAGAAAGGCTAGAAGAATGATGTGAAAGAGGCATATTGAGGTAGGCATTTGAAAACAATGTGTATGTTAGACTGGAATGAGGAAGCAATTGGCCTTCAAGGACTGACATGGTGTTCAAATATGGCTAAAATAACTGGATGAAGAAATTTAGGGAAACTGGCTATATTTACAGAAGGGCCCCCATTTTACAGCGCTTCATTTTACAGCATTTCATTAATGCAGCAGTACTCAATTACACCCATTCTTCATTCATTCAGACTTCCTACAATAAATATATTCACCACTCCCGGTAAGCTAAGGACAAAAATATTTTAAGTACAGCCTCTCCTCACTTAGCGAGTACTCGTTTACCAATGCCTCAGACTTACAACGGGCTCACTGACCAGTATTCATACCTAAATAATGTATACGTATTAGAGCTGATTTCTTCTGTTTATTTCAATATACAGTACACTAGTGTATAAACATTTAAAAATATACCAGGAATGTTATAAATGGTGCAAAGGTGACATTAAAACAATATCAAAGATGGCTGACACAAACTTACTACCATTATAGTATGCTCCTCACTTAGCAACGAATTTGTTCAACGGTGTGGTCTTAGGAACGAAACTCCATCATTATGTGAGGAGAGGCTGTAATGTATGTACTGTATATGCATTTTTTTTTGGCCTAGTGTAAACATTTTATCAGGCTTTTATATGCATTTGAAAGTGAAAAAAGACTGTTTCACTTTACAGCAGTAGCCCAGAACCTAACCTGTTGCATAATTGGGGCCCATTTGTACTCAGGTTTTAGAGATTGGGAAGTGCAGTGCTTGCACTTTGTGGTTCAGCAGGCTAATCTGTTCTAGGCTGAAAAAGATGCAAGGCAGAGAGTAATGGAGAATGTGTTTTTTTCTTCTTTGGGTCACCATGCTTTAGTGAAAACTGACTGAAAAATGTTTACATACCTTCTGCTGATGAATGGAGTCTGAGTTAAAACGGTTATTGATTACTGAATGATGAAGTCTTTCTAAATCCAACAAGTTACTTCGCAGCTGAAAATTATCATAAGAGAACATACAATGAAAGTAAGGGCAAAGTTTACTTAATTAAAGTAGTTGTAATAGTTTTTCTTATTTGTAAAGGCTTGACAAGAACATACTATAACAAAAAGCAAACAAACAAGACAAAAGCATACAAAACACACAAATACAAAAACAAAACCACAATGCTGGCCAATAAAATATGCACTGCATGGAATAAGGAACTTGTGCAAATCACCCTATTTATTATTTAGGAAATTTGGACAGCTAATTTTCTGATATTTGCAGTTAGAATAGTTTGTAAAGAGTGACTTTTGTGGTTACCAATCTCATATACTGTATCAGGATTTTTCCCAACAAGTAATTGTGTATATTGTAGTAATAACATTAGAGATATCCATTAAGGGCAATTAAAGAAACTGAAAGAAAAATTAAAAGAGGGAGAAAATGTAGTAAAAGAAAAATTTAATGAATGTACAAAAATAGATGTATATACTTAAAAAAGATGAAAATAAAGAACACACACTGAGTAAAAGCAGGATACTACGTGTAGGACAAAAACCCCTGAGAACTAGTGGAAAGAAAGATAAAGAGAAGCCAAAAACAAGTTGATAGACATACTGCAGAGGCTTAATTAAACAAAATAGGGGCAAAGGAACATATCCAGTAAAGGAAAATTATCGGTAAGTCAGAATCTTAAGATATTTGAAATAAATTTTACCTATGAAATAATGTTTTTTTTATTTAAATTTGGTAACCAGAGTATTTCATGAACTGCCTCACTGTGTAAATGTTGAATTAAAAAACAATTGTGTGCTTTGCTTAATTAAATAAAATTCAATAGGCAAAGTAAAAGAATGACCAATTACAATTAAAATCTAGCTTCAAAGAATAAGGAAGTTTAAAGATTTTTGCCTATAAAAAATTAAAACAGGCAGAAGGCCTTCATAAATTAACCTGAAATGCAATGTACATTTGACTGGGACAAAAATTATTAATTGTTTTCTCTATACCCTTACCTGCAACATCAAATCAGTTCTTTTGTCTTTTGAGTTCTTTTTATCTGATTCTTTTTCTATTAAGCTAGAAAGCTGAGAATTCCATAGCTGACAGTGACTGACCTCTTTATTTCGCTCTTCCCAAACCACTTTCATCAGCATTGTTCGGCGTTTAATTTCTACCTCTTTTTGACGGAGCTCCTCTTTTTTCTGGCCTATCCAAGAAAAAGATAATACATAAGCAACAAAAAAAATTCTTGTTTACAAAGGCCAACTGATCATGATCTCTAGTGTTAACTGTTTTTTTTTTATCACACTGGCAATTCCCTACCTAGGTAGTGTGACAACTAAACATAGAAGTAAGAATGAATTCAAGGAGATTTACTGTAAAATGATATACATGTAATAAAAATAAAGAATGTAGATATATGACTTTTAACTGTACAACATGTTCTCAACACAAAATCCTTTTTTGGCACCAAAATAACTGTCTTATGTAGTATTGTAACTTACAGATACACAGTATAGTTTTTGTTCTAAGCATATTTTCAGAATTTAGTTACTGTACTATAGGACTCCACTAACTTGGGTTGAAAAGTCTATAAATGATAAAGGAAATTGGAAATACACTCACTCAGTTGTTGAATCTCAGTTACTTCTGCGTCAACAGCTGAAACTGCATCCACAACAGCTGCTTTAATTTTAAATCTCTCCTCAGATGCTGACATTTCTTGACCATCTCTTACTTGCTGTTAAAAACAGGAATAACAGTATAACACAAGCTTAGCATCCTCCTCCTCCTCTTGATTCTCACCTCACCCATGCCCAATGAGGAAATTTCTTCAACACAGTTTCTTGATCTTACTTTTGAGCTTTTGACCAATATAATAGAGTACTGCCCTATGTAATTTTGAGCCCTTCTATAGTCTACTTCCACTATTATTTTGAAGCTCAATCAACATATGAGTCATCTGTATGTGTAATTTTCAACCTTTTTCCCTTGTATTTGTTGCATCTCTGGTAAAGAGCCTTTCCTAGCCTACCATGTCTATGTCCTGTATTCTGTATGTAATGATCATATTTCCTCTTGTTTTTAGCTCCTCCAGTGACAGACCTAGTTTTTATATTTTCATATTACTATAGAAGTTTGGAGGGATATGTTATATATCTTTATACATGCTTCTAAACTGTTGAATCTGGGCACCTCTGCTAAAACAGTGATTATGTATGAGTGAGGTAAAAGTGTTGAATTATGATGAAAGCATTTTCTTTTGGGGGATTTTCTTTCTTTTTGGGTCACCCTGCCTCTGTGGGAGATGGCAGACTTGTCGAGGAAAAAAAAAAATTTCTATAGCATTTCCTTCGGCTCATGTGGTAGTCTTGATGCTCTCCTTTACATTCCCTAAGCTTTACATTGCTTTACTAGGTGATGGTTCAGATATTTCAGCTAGAGTCTCAAATGCTATACTGAGGATAATGTCCTTATCTTAAATGGTCCAAACATATATTTTTCAACATCTGAAAGTATGTAAAGAAAATGTAGATCTTCTTTTTTGTTTTACATTTGAAAACGTGTAAAAAATATTTTATCTACATTTTTTTTTGTTATATTTGAAAATATGTAAAAAAAAGTAGATCTACTTTTGTAGCACTATGAATTTGAACGTCGATCTGTTTGGACCATTTAAGGGTTAAACAGATTTTAAGATAGCATCAAAACAGTAACAACATAACATCTTTGAAAACTAGCTCAAGCAAACAATTTTCTGGGTATGCATTTTTAATGAAGACTTTCCAGCATGTCATCTGATATCAAGAAGTCTAATGTGTTTGGTGTAGTGCTGCTTATTCAATGTCATTTAACCCTTTCAGGGTCGAGAGGCCCTCTCCTAAACTCGTTCTCAGGGTCGAAAAATTTTCGGAAAAAAAAAAAATTATTTTTTTTCTTATGAAATGATAGAGAATCTTTTCCTGATCATAATGACACCAAAAGTATGAAATTTGATGGAACACTTACGGAATTATGCTCTCGCAAAGTTAGTGGTCTCGACGATGTTTACGTATCGGCGATTTTGCCCACTTTGAGCCCTATTTTCGGCCAATTCCTGTGTACTAGTCGACAAAAATCATATTTATTTCGCTAGAACTCCATTTTTTCTGTCGAATGAGTACAAGAAACCGCCCATTTACCAATTTCAATTATCCAATCAAGTGGTTAGAAATTGGCAATTTTGCCAATTTCACGCAAATTTCAGAAGACGCCAATTTCCAAATAGGGTCCAGAATAAACAAGACAGACATTCCTGGCACTAAAATAACAAGTTCTCTGTTCGGGGCCCCTCTTATATTTCTTTTGCTTTCCACTTTGAATTTTTATTCTCACAAAAAATAGAAGATTTACTGTTATGCAGACTATTGCATTAGTGTAGAAATGGTATAAATAATATCAGCGCACTTGTGAAAGAATATTAGACTCACCAGCTGATGTGTATTGGATGCTTGGCATGATTTGTTTACTTTTGAACTTTGGTAAAAATTGAACATTTCTGCTACTTTGAGCTCAATTTCAAGGTATGTACTTTTCATTGTGAAACCAATCAAAATCATCGCAATTTCTGTAATATGTCTTCCATTCTATAAAATGAGACCAGGAAAACTAGAATACAACCATAAATACCATACAAAAATACAGTGCAAAGTTGCTGTTTTAATCCAAAAACACGGTCAAAGATTTTTTTTCTCATTACACACTGTGTGCTGCAGGATTTTTTTTTATACTGCGCACACTGACCACATAGACCTCTTCTTTCATATGTAGGCCTACCAGCTTTCTATCAGTAGATTTGAAGGCACTAGAATTTAGGCATTCTAGTACGTCAATAACCCTGGTGTGTAAGCCATACTAGTACGTCAGAAACCCTGAAAGGGTTAAGCTTGCAGAAGACAATAGCCCTCAACTAAAAACTGGATCCCAAACTAGCCACAAGAGGGGGCTATATTATTTATCCAAATTTCAAGCAAAAAGCTTGGCTTTATGAAAATACATTAGAGATTAATTTCAAACAAATATAAGTAAGTTTATTCGGGTATACACAAATACAGTTACAAAGATTATCATACATAGCAGCATATGTGTAAAGTACCTAGGATAATCCAAAAAAGTTAGACAGTGACTTATTTCCATTGGGGTCATTAACAAAGATATTATCTTAAAAGAAAAAGGTGGGGAAACAATGTGGGATGAGGGGCAGCAAAACCATGAGGTACCCTTATTGAGTATACCTTGTACAAAAATAAAATACAGTGGAACCTCAAAATTCGAACTTAATCCGTTCCGGGAGCTAGTTCTAAATTCGAAAAGTTTGAAAAGCGAAGCAATATTTCCCATAAGAAATAATGAAAATACAATTAATCTGTTCCAGAAACCCAAAAATATTCACAAAAAAATACATTTTATAGAGATTAATTATAGTTTTACATACAACAAATATAGTGTACAATTATGTATTAATAAATTTAAATAAACATAAAATAACATTTTTTCTTACCTTTATTGAAGATTGGTGGTGGCATCTGGAAGATAGGGAGGAGGAGAGAGGGAGTTGGGGGTTAGTGTTTGGAAGGGGAATCCCCCTCCATAAGGACTTTAGGTATCAAAGCCCTCTCTGGGGTTACTTCCCTTCTCTGTCTTTTAATGCCACTAGGACCAGCTTGAGAGTCACTGGACCCCTGTCTCACAAAATAACTGTCCACAGTCCTCTGTTTATGGCGCCTCTTTAAGATTTCCCTAAAATGGGACGTGGTTTTTGTCACTGAACTTTTCACAAATAATCGTCTCTGAAACATTATCACCTGCCATCTCTTTATCCTTGATCCACACCAGCAACAACAACTCAACCTGATCAATTGTCTGTGGTCTTTTTTTGGTTAGCATATTAACAACTTTTGCAACATCAGCTTCCTTGATTTGTTCTTTCTTTGCCAGGATAGAAGTGATGGTCAACTTGTTTTTCCCATACATCCTGGCAAGCTCAACAACTTTCACACCACTCTCATACTTCTGTATTATTTCCTTCTTCACATCTATGGTGTTTCTCACTTTCTTTAACACAGGGGTACCACTAGCAAGTTTCTTTGGGCCCATGGTAGCTTATTTCACAGTCCCACAAGCACTAAACACAATGAATTAATCATAAAATGTTTGAATGAGAGTGCAGGTAAGTGTTCACTCAAGCATCAACAAAGCCAGACTGGCTCAAGGCGCCTGTGCGGAGACGCGGACAGAGCGAGCTGGCGGACAGGTCCGGTACCCGGCGGTTTGAAAATAAGGAACATGTTCGATAATAGGGACAAAGTTGGTTAAAAAAAAGCGGTCGATTTTCGTAGAGTTCGATAAGCAATACGTTCGAAATTTGAGGTTCCACTTTATGTATTACAAGTAATTATGAGTGACCTCTGTAAACGAATTCCTGAGCCAAAAGAATAATGGTAAATACTTTCAGGCAAGAGATTAAATTGATAATAAAAATTTGAAATGTCCCTTTCACCAGTAACCTCTTTCTAAAGCAATTCAATTTAAACACAAAGAGAACAGTTAAATTTACCTTTCTGAAACGAGCTTGCTTTAAATTTAACTTTATCAATCTTCTTTCTTCTGGTGAGCGAACATGACGCACTAAGTAGGAGAGCACTGGTTGCAAATTTGTGTCGCAAGTTAATCTGAAAAGCAGTAATAACACAAGAATTCTTGTACATTAAAGTATGTATGCCACTTTTTCATAAATCTTGACAAAAATAATGAATTAATGTTGGTAGAATTACCAACAATATGTTAAATAAAAGGACACAAGTGCAACTAATGCAACATTTTATTGTGGCAATGTTTCACTCTCCAGGAGCTTTGTCAAACTGTAACTGGCTTGACAGAGCTCCTGGAGAGCAAAACGTAATCACAATAAAATGTTGGATTAGTTGCACTTGTGTCCTCTTCTTAAAAATAATGAAGTTTTCATAAAAAATAAATGCAGAAATTAATAAATTATTAAAAAAACAATAAATCTTTGCTCAGACATTTATCCTCTCAACAGACTTTTTCTCCCAAAGGATAATGACATTGCCTCCTGATCTACACCCCCCAGTATGAACCCCATCATCAATTTACAAGTACACAACTCAGACAAGCAAAGGACACACATGTATTCACAAATAACCTACAATTAGGCAAGGAAATTTGACATGTTGTCAGTTAGACTGGGACCATTAGCAAGTTGCAACTTTACAAAGGCCCACAACAGACCAAAACATCATCTAATGTTTTATCTCTTAATTGTAGGTTATTTGGAAACAAGATATATTTTCTTTTTACAGGTCCACAAGTTTAATCCGTAATATATTGTTAGAAGTTTGTCATATAGTACTTGTAATTTCCTTCATTTTGTTGCATATTTTTCAGTAGTTACCATAAAATAGAGATGAATTAATTGAAATTGCCAAAAAAAAAAAAATAAATAAATTCAACCAAGTATGGCTAAATACCAAAAAAGCACTTACAATATGCAAATTAGTGTTGAATAGCACCATGTACAATAGTACTTGTAGAGTAGTTAAACTGAACACTGAACAGATTCTCTATACAGTATTACATGGTATTTTAATTTTATACAAATTAGTGCTAGAAACAATCAATGAACATATCAGAATGCCAAAATAATAAGTTACAGTACATGTACTGTACTACAGAATATTCACATTCCTATTCTCTTCCCTAACAAGTTAATGACCCAGCTGGTTTAATAATTCATTGAGGGGTGCCATCCCTGTTATACTTGTAGTTAACCTGAAGGATGTTCCGGGGTCAACGCCCCTGTGGTTCAGTCCATGTCTAGGCCTCGATTTATGGGTAGTTTGTACTTGTTGAAATACATTTTGTTCAGCAGTTCTAAATTTATTAATTATCAAATTTCTCTTATGACTTCAATATGCCCATGGGCATCCACTGAGAAAAGGGGGGGCTACATTGTACTGACCTGAACCTAATACATTTCCACTTACTATCACTATGATTATCTTATTTCAAAGTAACTAAAAAAGATATATATATGAACAACAAATTAACAGACATAATAACATGTACGTGATACTTACTTAGAGAAATGTTCTGGGATTAGTGGATGATCATGACTAAACACCTTGTGGTGACGGGTCAGACTAATAGCCCAGGTATGTAGGCAGCTATCCATTCTTTCAGACATTGTTAATATAGTTCCTCACCTGCAACATTAGATATACGTACAGTGTACACAGAAATCCCATTAAACAAATGGATTTGTCAGTTAAAAATAGGAGAGGAGAGTTATTAAATGGAGAGTTAGAGGTATTGGGAAGATGGAGGGAATATTTTGAGAAATTGTTAAATGTTGATGAAGATAGGGAAGCTGTGATTTCGTGTATAGGGCAAGGAGGAATAACATCTTGTAGGAGTGAGGAAGAGCCAGTTGTGAGTGTGGGGGAAGTTCGTGAGGCAGTAGGTAAAATGAAAGGGGGTAAGGCAGCCGGGATTGATGGGATAAAGATAGAAATGTTAAAAGCAGGTGGGGATATAGTTTTGGAGTGGTTGGTGCAATTATTTAATAAATGTATGGAAGAGGGTAAGGTACCTAGGGACTGGCAGAGAGCATGCATAGTTCCTTTGTATAAAGGCAAAGGGGATAAAAGAGTGCAAAAATTATAGGGGGATAAGTCTGTTGAGTGTACCTGGTAAAGTGTATGGTAGAGTTATAATTGAAAGAATTAAGAGTAAGACGGAGAATAGGATAGCAGATGAACAAGGAGACTTTAGGAAAGGTAGGGGGTGTGTGGACCAGGTGTTTACAGTGAAACATATAAGTGAACAGTATTTAGATAAGGCTAGAGAGGTTTTTGTGGCATTTATGGATTTGGAAAAGGCGTATGACAGGGTGGATAGGGGGGCAATGTGGCAGATGTTGCAAGTGTATGGTGTAGGAGGTAGGTTACTGAAAGCAGTGAAGAGTTTTTTACGAGGATAGTGAGGCTCAAGTTAGAGTATGTAGGAAAGAGGGAAATTTTTTCCCAGTAAAAGTAGGCCTTAGACAAGGATGTGTGATGTCACCGTGGTTGTTTAATATATTTATAGATGGGGTTGTAAGAGAAGTAAATGCGAGGGTCTTGGCAAGAGGCGTGGAGTTAAAAGATAAAGAATCACACACAAAATGGGAGTTGTCACAGCTGCTCTTTGCTGATGACACTGTGCTCTTGGGAGATTATGAAGAGAAGCTGCAGAGATTGGTGGATGAATTTGGTAGGGTGTGCAAAAGAAGAAAATTAAAGGTGAATACAGGAAAGAGTAAGGTTATGAGGATAACAAAAAGATTAGGTGATGAAAGATTGAATATCAGATTGGAGGGAGAGAGTATGGAGGAGGTGAACATATTCAGATATTTGGGAGTGGACGTGTCAGGGATGGGTCTATGAAAGATGAGGTGAATCATAGAATTGATGAGGAAAAAGAGTGAGTGGTGCACTTAGGAGTCTGTGGAGACAAAGAACTTTGTCCTTGGAGGCAAAGAGGGGAATGTATGAGAGTATAGTTTTACCAACGCTCTTATATGGGTGTGAAGCGTGGGTGATGAATGTTGCAGCGAGGAGAAGGCTGGAGGCAGTGGAGATGTCATGTCTGAGGGCAATGTGTGGTGTGAATATAATGCAGAGAATTCGTAGTTTGGAAGTTAGGAGGAGGTGCGGGATTACCAAAACTGTTGTCCAGAGGGCTGAGGAAGGGTTGTTGAGGTGGTTCGGACATGTAGAGAGAATGGAGCGAAACAGAATGACTTCAAGAGTGTATCAGTCTGTAGTGGAAGGAAGGCGGGGTAGGGGTCGGCCTAGGAAGGGTTGGAGGGAGGGGGTAAAGGAGGTTTTGTGTGCGAGGGGCTTGGACTTCCAGCAGGCATGCGTGAGCGTGTTTGATAGGAGTGAATGGAGACAAATGGTTTTTAATACTTGACGTGCTGTTGGAGTGTGAGCAAAGTAACATTTATGAAGGGATTCAGGGAAACCGGCAGGCCGGACTTGAGTCCTGGAGATGGGAAGTACAGTGCCTGCACTCTGAAGGAGGGGTGTTAATGTTGCAGTTTAAAAACTGTAGTGTAAAGCACCCTTCTGGCAAGACAGTGATGGAGTGAATGATGGTGAAAGTTTTTCTTTTTCGGGCCACCCTGCCTTGGTGGGAATCGGCCGGTGTGATAAAAAAAAAAAAAAAAGGCAATGATGAAACTATATTTAAACTACAGTACTACACATTGGTTAGCTAATTATCCAACATTTCAGCTGAACAGCACACAGAATAGACTTTCCAGCATGGCCATATGCTGATATGATTGAAATTCTCTCTTTCTCAGACTTGTTCTTCACTTGCATGCAGAATTACATGAAATTCCTCACAGTCTTCATCTGTTATTGAAAATGTTTTAGGAGTTGCAATTGGTTCTGATGTCTTGAGCAAATAAATATTCCTTTCCTTGTTTTCAAGTAAAATGACTGTTTCTTCAGCATATGCACCCTTCTAACTGATCCTTTTCTTGGTTCATTCCATGAACTAAGGAAAATAGTGGAGGGTATACAGCAGGCACCATAAATATGCATGCCCATACGTATATCTTTAGCAGACTGCAGTAATACATAAAAAGAACAGGTTATGATAAGCTGTCTCATTTCTGGTGTACTCTGTTTATGCACGTACATGCATTAAACACGATACTGTATTATTATAAACATAGTTAATGTGCTGTATTAGATATTGTAGAATGTCTTATCTTACTATGGCTTTACAGTTACAATTATGTAATGTGTAAAAAAAAAAAAATCCAGAATCATTCTCTTATTATTATGATTTTATCAAGGCTTTATAATTTTTAAATAGTTGTGGAAATGAGTGTTACTGTGTAACATACTATGGTTAACAAATATTTTGCCAAACCCCTAAAAATGTTTCATCCATAAATACCTGAAAGACACACAATAGCAGTTTCTTCCTGTTATGTGTGGTCTTGGTCCCTCTTGATGTCTGTTTAAGACCCTTGTTCTGCTGGTGTCTGTACGAGCTTCTCATTCCTCTGCTGCCTCTTGTTATTTACACGAACATTATACATAGAGAAAATCAGTTTACGATACATAAATAAATGTTAACTATATACAAAGTCTCACTCTTCCCTTTCTGTAGCTTTATTCATTAGGAACCCCAATGGAAATAAGCTATGTACCCCATCAGAAATAAGTCAATTTGTCTGGCTTTTTGGGGTTAGTAAGTTTATTTAGCTACAGGTACACATAAATACAGTCACATGAATTATCATATAGAGTAATGTGTGTAAATTACCTAGGATAATCCAAAAGAGTCACTGAGTGACTATTTCTGTTGGGGTTATCGTAGGTAATTCACACTATGTATAATAATTATACTTATAAGAACACAAGAACATACGAAAGAAGGAACACTGCAGCAGGCCTATTGGCCCATGCGAGGCAGGTCCATGTCACCCCCTGGCTTAAACCAATGACCCACCTAGTCAGGTCACATCCACTTAAGGAAGGGGCACGGCATCAGACCCACTAGCACAAGTTAGTCAGGTTCAGCTCACACCCACCCACTCATTCAAATTCAAAATTTGTTATTTCTTTGCAGTGTTTACAATGTGTGACTGACATGTTATAAGGAGTCTATTTCTATGCATAGTTTACAATGTGTAATTACAATATTGTTTTGTTAAGTGCAAAGAAAGTCACTATCATGCCGAGGCATTTTATGTATTTATCTAACCTATTTTTAAAACTACACAAGATTTTAGCTTCTATGACGGTACTCGGGAGTTTGTTCCACTCATCCACAACTCTATTACCCAACCAGTGTTTTCCTATATCCTTCCTGATTCTGAAGTTTTCCAACTTAAAACCATTGCTGCGAGTCCTGTCTTGGCTAGATATTTTCAGCATGCTACTTACATCCCCTTTATTTATTCCTGTTTCCCATTTATACACCTCAGTCACATATCCCCCTTATTTTATGCCTTTCTAGAGTGCAGATTCAGGGCCCTCAGTCTATCATCACAGGGAAGATTTTTGATACAGTTAGTTTAATATATTTATTATGCACCCCATTTTGTCATCCTCCTTTATATGTTTTCCAGTGCATTTATATCCATTTTGTAATAAAGTGACCAGAACTGTGCAGCATAATCTAAATGAGGTCTAACCAAGGATATATAGAGTTGAAGAACAACCTGCCTAAATAAACTTACTAACCTTTTAGCACTCTTCCTGAACTAGCCTTGACATCTTCAGGCAACTCATTCCATTTCTTTACTGCTGTGTAAGGGCTTTATTATATGTGTTTTTTCACACACTATGTATGAGAACTGCACTTATGTGTACCAGTACCTAAATAAACTTACCATCTACTGTAGGTGGTGGTAAGACACATAGGCAACAGTTAGGCATCTTTATTTGGAATAGAGATGCCTGAATGTTTCCTAAGCCCGAGTGACTTTATTTATTTATTTTTTATCTGGACATGATACATACTTGTACAAAGAAATATAGTGACTGGGTGTACATGCCAAAAGCCCCTTGTATGCAGAACATTATGGGCAGCTTAAAATTAACTTAAGATTAACTAAGCAATGATATATTCAGTGGTAAAAATTACAGTAAACAAATTACAACATGAAGTACAAATGAGTACTTTAAATAAGAAGCATTAAAGTTGTACAAATTTGTAGCATAACAATGTATAATATAATCGAATCAGGTCTAGTTATTATTATTATTATAATCAAGGGGGAAGCGCTAAACCCAGAGGATTATACAGCGCCTGGGGGGGGGATGTGGAAGGCATTCAGGCTTAATTCGGGGAACTGGAGCACAAATCCAATTCCCTAAATCAAGAGCCCCTCACCAACATCAAGGAACCTTCCTTGAGGGGAATCAGGTCTAGTAAAATCAATGATTTGTAGTGCAGAAACAGGTCATATGGTCATTAGATGAGTTACTGTGCATGCAAGAGAATGGAGTATTGTTAGGTAATGTAATTAAAAAATATATATATAGTTTGATAGGGTCACAGGTTATACATTTATGAGATTCAGTTATTCAGTATTTATTTAGTTGTGGTTGAGTAAGTGGTTTTTAAGAAGTCTTGAATTGATAAACAGACAGTGTTTCTTTTATATTCACAGGTAATGAATTCCAGATTTTTGGGCCTTTTATGTGAATTGAGTTTTTACATAATGTGAGATGGACACGAGGAACATCAAAGAGTGTTATGGTCATGTGTTCTGTTGAGGTTGGTAAGAAGTTTGAGGGGAGGGTTTATATCCGAGTTAAGTGTTCTATGTATGTAGTAGGTACAATAATAAGTATGGATGTTTTGTACGGTGAATAAGTTTAGAGTTTCGAATATTGGTGGAGTGTGCTGCCTGGAGTGGGAATTTGTTATCATTCTGACTTATTTCCATTATGCATGATAATTATACTTAATGTGTACTTGTGCCTAAATGAAGTAAATGAAAAAAAAAACTAACTTCCTCAAAAACTCTTCGCACGTCTTCTTCAGAATACTTGTAATTCACTTATAGGTTTCTTCTCCTCTTAAAGACTGCTCTTTGTATTGCAACTTTCAAAAACCACTGAAATTTATTGTGGCAGCGAACACTTCCAGGGAACATGTGGCAGCGAATACCTCCAGGGAACATGTGGCAGCGAACACCTCCAGGGAACATGTGGCAGCGAACACCTCCAAGGAACAAGTGGCAGCGAACACCTCCAAGGAACAAGTGGCAGAGAACTTCTCCAAATAAGATAAGATAAGATTTCGTTCAGATTTTTAACCCCGGAGGGTTAGCCACCCAGGATAACCCAAGAAAGTCAGTGCGTCATCGAGGACTGTTTATTTATTTATTTATTTTATTTTTTAACAATTTGAGCACACATACAGAGGTACAAAAAAATACAGATAAGAGCAGCATGCCAAAGCCACTTATACTATGCATAGCATTACGGGCTGTCTAACTTATTTCCATTGGAGTCCTTAATCTTGTCCCCCAGGATGCGACCCACACCAGTCTACTAACACCCAGGTACCTATTTGCTGCTAGGTGAACAGGACAATAGGTGTAAGGAAACGTGTCGGAATTTCCACCCACCGGGAATCGAACCCGGGCCCTCCGTGTGTGAAGCGGGAGTTTTAGCCACCAGACCACCGGGCCACACCAAATAACAGCGGACATCTCCAGGTAACAAGTGGTAACGAACATTTTCTGGTAACAAATGACAGCAAACAGTGAACAAGGGACAGCAAACATGTCCAGTGAACAAGTGACAGCAAACATCTCCGGTGGACAAGTGACAGTAAACATCTCCAGTGAACAAGTGACAGAAAAAAATCTCCAGTGAACAAGTGACAGCAAATATCTCCAGCGAAAGTGACAGAAAATATCTCCAGTGAACAAGTGACAGCAATCGTCTCCAGTGAATAAGTGACAGCAAACATCTCCAGTGAACAAGTGACAGCAAACATCTCCAGTGAACAAGTGACAGCAAACATCTCCAATGAACAAGTGGCAGCAAACATCTCCAGTGAACAAGTGACAGAAATGTGATGAATGGTTTTGAAAACCGACAAGTTGAAGATTGAGACATATGCAACATATGGGAATCTTTATTGAGAAAACGTTTCGCTACACAGTGGCTTCATCAGTCCAATACAAAGTACAATACAAGTTTTCTTCAAAACTTGTCCAACCTTTGGACGAATACCTACTTCGGCTAGTGGATGGTACCACTATGACCCCGCCTCCTGCTTCGCCTCACCTGACTACAGTATATAAGCCACGTCTACGGCCCTATGCTGTAAACACTACAAAAATGGTTCTACATGACCATAATTTTTAAAGGGGTGGACCGGTAAGCCAGCGGAAGGCCTCGGTCAGATGACCAAAAGCTCCAAAGGTGGGTCATCATCTGAATAAGACCCGCGTCAGGAAACATTTGTCCTGTTTCCTGACGAAGCTTACCTAACCTAACCCTATGCTGTACATTCTACAAGATTGATGGACTGAACACATCGACTCCAGGCTGAGGGACTGATAAAGAGGGTACAGGAGGAAATCTATGGAAATGAGATTAAATTGATGATGGAAAGAAAAATTGTGAAAGGTTCCATAATAGAGAAACTGGGGCTGTATTTAGAGAACAATGTAATTAGGTGCAGAGGTAGGTTACAAAATGCTGAATTGGGTGATTATGCTAAACACACTGTCTTACTGCCCAAAACTCACCATCTAACAAATTTAATTGTTCTAAATGCCCATAAAAATGTAATGCATGGTGGGGTACAAGATACCTTAAATTGTATTAGGGAAACTTTCTGGATTCCACAAGGACGGCAAAGCGTAAAAAGGGTGATTAAATCTTGTGTAATATGTCGCCGTGTGGATGCCAGATCCTATATGTACCCAGGTCCTCCACCATTGCCAAAGGAGCGTGTACAATTAGTGAAACCATTTGATGTAACAGGTGTAGACTATAGTGGTCCAATAATTTTAACAGGTACGTCAAATGGTGTTCCACTGAAAGTGTATGTTTGTTTGTTCACCTGTACTGCTACTAGGGCAGTTCATTTAGAACTGGCACAGGACTTGTCTGCAGAACAGTTTATACAGCTGTTTCGAAAATTTGCAGCTAGGAGGTCCTGTCCGAGGTTGATGATTTCGGATAATGCCACAAATTTTGTAGCAGGTGCTCAACACTTGATAGAATTAAATAATAGTAACGATGTTCAATCTCTGTTAACCCAGTGAGGGTGTACCTGGAAATTTATTACTCCTAGAGCCCCTTGGCAGGGGGGGCTGTACGAAAGACTGATAGGCACAGTGAAGAGGTGTCTCCGCAAAGTACTACACCGAAGAGAATTAATTTGGAAGAATTCCGTGCATTGTTAGTGGAGGCAGAAAATCGTATAAATAATAGGCCTCTCTCGTACATGAGTGATACACCTGATGCAGATGTATTAACACCTTCTCACCTAATATGTGGAAGGAAATTGGAAGCTGCCCCTGTCTATAGAGATAATTCGGAAGAAAGTGATGAAGATTACAATGATGCGGCAGTGTTGTGTGATAAATTTAAAATGTTAAATAAAGTAAGTGATCATTGGTCTAATGTGTGGCGTAAGGAATATCTTCTTACACTACGTGAACACTTTTATGGTGCGACAGAGGCAGTAAATCGAGACCATTCAACCAGGTGACATTGTGTTAATTGACACTGAACAACATCGAACATTGTGGCCTCTGGGCAAAGTATTGACATTGTACCCAGATGCACAAGGTGTTGTCAGGAATGTCAAAGTGCTGTGTCGTGGCCAGGAAAGTTTACGCACAATTAATAAATTGATTCCCTTGGAATTAGGTGTTCAATCAAACGTAAATGAAAATCTGAGGGAAATGTGACACGAGTGATATGGAAGATAACGCAGACCAAGTGATGCCGGAAGATGAAATCGTAGTAAGACCTACTAGGAGAACAGCCACTCAAGCCAGAACTGGCTGGAATTGTCTCCTAAAGGAAGGAGTAATTTGAATCGTTTAGCAACGAACTCCGGCCGGCCGCAGTGTGGAAAATACTGTATATATTTTCCAGAAATTCAGTATTTATATGTAAATAGATGGCCATACTGTATTTAATAATATTTATGTCATAGAAAACGGAAAGCCTGCGTCTGCACAGACGGGACTCGCCATCTTGGTTTTTGAATTTTGTACAAACGTTGGTGCAATGGGAAGAATTTTTCGTGCTCTAGAGGTTGAAATTGTGTTGACTCCTCTCAAATAGGAGGCGAAATTGGTGGATATGCATTCCTGCATAACTTGAGATATCAGACGACTGGACAAGACAGCTCCAGGAACCTCAGATAATCTGGAGTATATCTGGAGAGTTCTGGGGGTCAACGCCCCCGCGGCCCGGTCTGTGACCAGGCCTCCTTAGGTCAGTGTCCCAGGATGCGACCCACACCAGTCGACTAACACCCAGGTACCCATTTTACTGATGGGGAACATAGACAACAGGTGGAAAGAAACACGTCCAATGTTTCTACTCTGGCTGGGAATCGAACCCAGGCCCTCACCGTGTGAAGCGAGAGCGTTAACCACCAGGCCACCAGAGCTCTCTAGATTTATGTGTAATTCTGGCCAGCATTATTTTCATAGATTTAGTTAGAGTGAGGTTTTCTGAGTATGATACACATTAATCTCCAGTCAAATTGGTGAGTGATATTAAGATATATTTTCCTTCTGTTATATAATTGTGTATATATATAACCATTTATTATTTTTAATATACAGTCCACAAAATTTATATTACCAGTATTCCTGGTTATACATATTTCATTGGTAATTAATAGGTCCAGAGCAACTTGTGGATATGACAGTGGTAGGTATCGAAGGGGGACATTTTTGCGACCTAGGTGTCCCAAATTCCTACTTGTCTAACTGATAAATAATAATTATCTATGTTCATTTACTGTTATGTACATAATTATACATACAGATAAATGCAATTTTCCACGAACATCTTTTGTGAACATGTAACAGTAAACATCTTCAGTGAATATGCAGCAGCGACCATCTCCATTGAATATGTAGCAACGAACATCTTCATTATTTTAAGGTAACTCTTGATCCAAAGAATTGGAGCTACCCTCCTCTTTCATAGATTGAATATGAACCTTACGAATTTTGTGCTTTCCACGAATTTAATAATAATAATATTATTATTACTAATAATAATAATAATCTTATAAAATAATCTTATAAAAATGTCTAAATTTCACCAAAATAAAACTTACTTTTACCTAATTTCAGTAAAGACTGATTCATACAGCTCTAATGTTTTTTCTCTGTGAATATATTAACAATATTTATACTTCCTAACACCAGAATTTTCAACTGGGAAGGGGAGAGGGTGTGGCATGAAGTTGGTGATGAATGGCTCTTGATCTAAGGAATTAGAGCAACCTCTCTTTAGGGTGTCCAGTAGCTCGGTTGGTAGCGCACTCAGCTCACACCCGTACCGGGGTCGATCCCCAGTACGGGTGAAAACATTAAGTGTTTCCCTAGGATATCTGTTGTCTCTGTTCACCTAGCAGTAAATAGGTACCTGGGCTGGTTGACTGGTATGGGTCGCATCCTAGGGACAAAATTAAACTAATTTGCCTGAAATGCTCTGCGTAACAATGGGCTTTCTATACAGTATGTCATTGATGTCAATTTTGGGATGTATACGCTGTGTACTTGTAGAAATTATTATTGCTGAGACCAAGATATGCGAGCTGCGTGAGTCTTACGGGTTTAGCGCGTCTTTCTAAACATATAACAGTAATATTAAGGTACACAAGTAAATTTACCTTATCCCTAGTATATCTCCTTTAGGCGTGTTGCCTTGCATCGGTTGTCTATGTTCACCCATTAGTAAAATGGGTACCTGGGTGTTAATCGACCCCCAATGGAAATAAGTCACTTAGTCTGACTTTTTTGGGGTTATCCTAGGTTCTCTACACATATGCCTGGAGTTTACCTGGAGAGAGTTCCGGGGGTCAACGCCCCTGCGACCCGGTCTGTGACCGGGTCACAGGGGTGTATGTATGATAATCTATATAACTGTATTTGTGTATATCTAAATAAGCTAACATACTTACTTAGGTCGCA